CTTATTAGTGAATAGAGAATAATAATTTTGCAACGATTGTGTTTCTCCAAATCGTAATTCTAATTTAGATTTAATTCAGCATAACACAAATTTTCTAAATTTTGCACACTTTCTAACACCGCGCGCGCCTTTCCTCTCAAGCAAGATATCAGTACAGCGGTTTTTGTCTCCTCTCCCCAACGGTTCGCACGAGCTAATAAATCAAACTGCGCGAAAAACTCGCGCAAGGGTGCACTCCCGTCAAATGTGTCCGGCTTTAATTTTACGCCCGTTACTCCGCGGAGAGAATACGCATTCGAATCGGCTCGATCGCCCGAGCCCGCGGCAACTTCAACGTTGATTAAGCGATTGCCGATATTCGCGACATTTTCGTTACGATCTCGCGCATTATTTTCGGTATTATTGAGAGGACTTAGCTGGTTTATTGGAGTGGTTTCTCGTAGTCGTTCACGCAAAAGTCGTAATTCCTCGTCGCGCTGTCGTAGTTCCTCGTCACGCTACGTGATCATTGCCTCCAAAGCGGTACGCTGTCGCTGCTGTTCGGCGCGAAGAGTCGCTTCGAATGCGGCCTGTTGTTGCTATCGCAGCGCGCGCTTCTCTCGTATCTCACGCAATTCCTCCAGTGTAGAGCGGAGGATCTCCGCCAGAGTCGGTGTCTCTTCGCCTTCCGCCGTTCGTTCACATGCCCTCTTTCTTATCGTCGCCATCACTACACAGTTCACTGATCGAACTTTTCGAACTGCTCGTCCGTTCGATCCCGGACGAGCCCCCAAAATGTTACGCCCGGGGCGGTGAATGTCACGTTCACGCACTCGCTCGCGTAACGTACGCGCTTCCGCACTCGCGTTCGCGCACGCGCACCGAAAGGCCGCGGGAGGAATAAAAGGAACATCAAATTAAGAAAACAAGGAACACGCTTTATTATAATGACTGTGAACAAAATAACGCAGCGAATAAATAGAACAGAGCACAGCACGTCCGCACGGCACGACGGCTCGTCTCCAAATCTAATATGTCATCCCGTTTGACAGATGACAACGCGTCGTTAGGGAAACATCCGACAGCT